CTTAGTCATCCTAAGTACTAAAAAGCAACTTAATTGCTGAATTCCCTTAAAGAAATGTATTTAGTAGCTCTAGCAATCCTGGATCTCAATATTTATAAAATCAAATGGACATAACTTTGTTCTATATATGACTATAATATTTTATAATACATCTCTGTGACTACTTCTTACACATAAGAATGAAGAATATTTAAACCTAACTAGGTTATCTTACAAAATAATGATATGCATGTACTTACTCCAATAAAACAATGTTTTTAAATATGAGTTTACAAGGAGTGCCTAATCTGATGGAATCAATATTCATAGGTTGAACATTATTTAGGATGTCTTTTTTTGCCCATAAGACACACTTGAGATTATTTGCATATCATTTTTTGGTGTTAAGGTCATTAAACTGTCTTTGAATAAACATTCTGCTGAAGAAATACTTTAAAATAACATGAGCTACTTATGAATAGGAAATAGGAGTAATTATGTGCAAGGATTCAGCTTTTTGGTGTTCATTTTAAATGACAGATATACTCATAACAGTTCTGAAGATAGTGACTAACATAGCTGGAACCAAATATTTGTTGAGAGAACAAAGAAGTGGATGTGCAGAATTCTGACTCACTAGTATATATGAAGAAAAAACAAAACTTTTCATTGTATCATAAAGACTCAGTTCCTTTAATGAAGTTTTCTACTACTGGGACAAGTCTACATCAAAATGTAAAGATAATTATATATTAGGAAAATCTATCAATGTAATTAATATATTAACACATTCAAGAATATTGATCTTCTCACTGTGATGCATCTAACAGATACAGAAAACCCATTTGATAATTTTGAAACTTACTTTGTATTTTTAAACCATTAATTAAATAGAACAAGAAAAGTATATACCAGGAATACAGAGCAAATATATCCAATGATTAATCATTTGAGGCATTTCCTATAAAAGCAAGAAAAAGAAGGATTATTTACTATTTTTGCTACTATTCAAGAGTGTGCCAGATTTTCTATACATCACTATAAGACAAGAAAACAAAAGGAAGAAAAAATATTGGAAAGCAATAGATAAAAATATAATTATTTTTAAGGAATATAATTTTCTATTTAGAAATCCAAAATAATCAACTGAAAAACCATTAGGTATTACAACAGGATTCCACCAGGTAAATCAACATATAAAACCAACTAATAAACACTGTGAAAAAAAAAAAAAAACCTCTTTGACTTATAATAGAACAGAATGTATAAAATATCTTGCAAAAGCATAATATGTGTAAGAACAACCTGAAAGAAAACTAACACTTTACTCAAGGGCATAAAAGAGAATTAGAGTGAATGTAAAAATATACTTATCCTTGAAGAGAAGATTCAATATTATAAAAATACCAGTTCTTTTTACATAATTTCATAAATTAAATATAAGTCAACACTATATTAGCATTTTCTCTTCAGCATTGGCACACTAATTCTAAAATTGTTCTGGAAGAGAAACTGTGCAAAAATAGATAATATAATTTTTTTAAATGGTGACTTTCATTTCTACACTTCAAAATATACTAGAAGCAATCTGTTATTGACACAGGAATAGATACATAGATTAATGGAATACTTAAGAGTCCAGAAACAGATCAGATATTTATGAAAACTGGTCATGTGATAAATATAACAAGTCACAGGTGAAAAGATGTCCCCACTAGAGGTGTTCAGGAAAATTGCCATTATGTTGGAAAAATGTCTAAAATTGGAGCTATACATTACTCTTTAGTCAACAAATGCATTCCAGATGTATTTTATATATGGACATAGTATAAAGAACAAAAAAGATAGTGTTCCTCTGAAAAAATTAAGCTGAATTTATTTTTTTAATGCTTATCTGTTTTGAGAGAGACAGAAAGTATGCATTTGTAGGGGGGAGGGGCAGAGAGAGAAGGAGAGAGAGATTCCCAAGCAGGCTCTGGGCTGTCCGATGATGGGTTCAATTCCACAAACTGTGAGATCATGAACTGAGCCAAAATCAAGATAGTCAGACACTCAATGGGCTGAACCACCCAGATACCCCTAATTTGAGTTCTTTATAGATAGCTGATAAAAAGGAATTATTAAAAAATATTACTCCTGAATTAAATGTGGAAGAAACAACTTTAAAAGATTAAAGCAATAATTATAAAATTCTAAGCCAATTCTTTATTCAGGTTGTTCCTCAAGTCCAAGTACATGCTTTTTAAAAAGAAGATGGAAGTAAGTTAGAGCTAATTACTTATAGGTTTGGTTTATGCCAGAAAGAAGACATAAAATTGTAACCAATAGATGCTTCATTCTATAGCAAACCTATATTGTACTCTGATATCAAATTTAGGCAATTGAGAGTCGATTCTGATATCTTTAATTAAAAATAAGATGTTTTCAGACATCTGTCTTTTTTATATTTCCCATCTCTAACTTTGTTTTACTTAACACTTTTCTTGATTTCATCAGTTAAGTGATAAGAGAGTCTAGACCTAAAATTCATATGGTCTCCATTTGGGCAATTGGAGGGCAATTGGAGGGGAATGTGCGAGAGCCAAACTGAAGTCATATTTAGGCCCTAAGGCTTATTTGAGAGTGTGCTATACACAGTGATTAAATTGAGGTTACAATAAAAAAAAAAAAACAAGATACATGTTATTTAAAAATTAGGTAATCATTGGAAGATTAAAAATATATTTATGTCTCCTAAACCTCTAAAGATATAGAAGGGACTCAAGGATTCAGATAACTGCAACAAATGAAAGAAATCAATAAAAAATTATAGTTAACATAAACCAGCAATAGCATAGGAGAAGGCATTTTTATGGGTGAAATAGTTTAAATTTTCTGATTAAAAAGCAGAATGAGAAATTAAGTTAAAATATTTAGCTCTAGGCTAGAGACACAGGCAAAATAAAATAATTTCATTTTTAACAGAAAAAAATATAGGTTTTTGGCCACTTACTCCAGCTTACAGAAAAAGTGCCATAAACTCTGAGTAACTATTCTGGAAGAAGGGAAAGAGGAGAAGTTTTCTTATCTGTTTTGTTTCCTACAGTTTAGTACAATTAAGATTTTTCCCATAATGTAACTTAAAAAAGAGAGAGAAACAAATTATAGAGGTAAAAAGGAGACTTAAAAAATCTGTTAATTACCCCAAATCTGATAACTACTCAGATCCTGCTCCCACCCCCCAAAGAGATACACACACAAAGAGTGAAGCAAAGATAAGGGAAAAAACAGATCCTACTTTTAGAGAGGGGTAGAATCAGCAAATTTAGGAAATGAAAATATGGGCTGTCCAGTTAAATTTCAATTTCAGGAAAAAAACCCACTTTTTAAATTTTATATCAAATATTACATGAGATATACCAATACTAAAAAATGTATTCACTATTATCTGAAATTCTTATTTACTGGCCATCTTCTATTTTATTTGGAAGCCCTAGGAAGAGGTATACATACAGATGAGTGAAGAAAAAAAAAATAGTTCAAGAAAGCAGCAATCATATCTGAAACTAAAGTCTCTAGACTGGGGTCCAGGGTCCAGACTTCAACACACTGAGGAATTCTGATAGCAACGTGGATCACTTTGCTTAAACTGTTTCCCAGAATAGGAATAGGAAAACAAGACTTTGCATGGAAAGAGGAGTTGGGGGTGGGAGGTGAAAGGAGAGGAACGTGAGTCCTCGTGATAGAATATGGAGAATGCCCTTGGTGCAGAACTTGGGCAATGAGGAAGACAGGAACTCCGGGAATACATACACCATGCCTTACGTGTAGACTAGCCACAGAAATAACTCAAGGAGCAATGCAGAAGGTACTGAGACAGGAATCTAACAGGGGCTATGGGAATGAGGTATAGAACACATGTTGTGGATACCAATATTCACCATTTTGGCGAGTGGATAGGTGTTGGGTTTTCTTTAAAAAAATCAATTGTTCAAATAACATTTGCAGGAAATTTAGTAGCTATCAACAGAGTAATGCTTTAGTTTTCTGCCACTGTTGGGAATAAGCGATCCCAAATGTTTAGTGAATTTTCCAGATAAATGGATATGTCACCTTAAGAGCCTCAAATGTTTTCATTTTTTTAATGTTTATTTATTTGTGGGGGAGGGGTAGGGGCAGAGAGAGAGGGAGACACAGAATCTGAAGCAGGTTCCAGGCTCCAACACAAGGCCCAACACAGGTCTCGAACCCATGAACTGTGAGATCATGACCTGAGCTGCAGTAGGATGCTTAACTGACTAAGCCACCCACGCGCCCCTCAAATGTTTTAATAGAAGGGCTTTTTCTTCTGAAATCCTTCATACATTTAACCAAGATCCTTAAATAAAGTACATTAACATAATTCATCCTTTTTAATGACTCTTACAGGGAGAGAAAGTAAAGGAAAGAAAGAAGAAAATTATGCCATTAGAGATTTCTAAAATATGTAGGGATATTTTGTCTTTTCAATTTGCTTGTCAACCCTTTCATATAGACATTAATAATATCAACTCTAAAATAAATAAAGTGAGTTTCAGATAGTTTAATTGGCCTGCCTAAAGTCATGGAGCTAGTAAATCTGTCTCTAAAGCCCATGACATCTCCACCTCACTGCTCTACTTCCTTGATACAGTGGTCCCTACGTATACTTTGTGGCATCAATTACACTTCCCAAAAGCATATTGTCCTCAGCTTTGAGATGGCTGGATAACAAAACTAACTTTGAATACGTAAAATATTCTCTATTATAATTTATCTACATTCTAAAGGTATCTAATAATTTTCTAACTTGAAGCACCTGAAGAATAATTGTAAGTATCTTATCATTTAAAATGAATGTAATGAGGATATATTTTTAAATAAATATATAACTAGGATATATATAAAAAATTTTACTAGACTAAGCTAAAAAAATTTAAAAAGGAAACAAAGTCAGAGAGGAAAATAATACATTTGGGAGTATTATGGGAGGAAATGACTGTATTCACTTTTTTCTCCTTCAGTGATTACTCTTTGGGGAGCCACAAAATATTTCAGAAAGATAAATCTGTTATTCAACTTAGTCTTCAGAAAAACGGGAAAGTTCCAGGAAAGTTATCTCGAAAGGTAAGATTTTTTTAGCATTGGTTTGAATTTGCAAGCTGATCATTTTAAGGACAATAATCTTATCTTTATGGATTGTTGCCAATTTAGAATTACATAGCTTAATGAATACATGTTCACTTGAGTATGTTTACTGAAACATAATGAAATATTTATCTAAATGCCTGTTAACAATTTGAACCGAAGTAATTACATGAACACATTACTGCAACCCTAGTATAATAGCAAATCAATTGGTCTCTTGGAAAAATCATTTATGAGAAACTTATTAATGTTATTATATTCATACTATCCATGAAGCCACTAGGAAGTGAACAGAATAAAAAATGTGAGGGGGAAACCACTGAAGGAAGAAAAATAAGAAAAATAACTCTTGTTTGAAGAAATAGAACTCTTATTCTATTTGAAGACTGTTTATGTCAGTATCAACACAATTTAAATCAAGACAGATTAATATTCATAATATATATAATAAAACTACCTAGAAAGAGATTACTGTGCTTTAATGACACAATTTCATGCTGTTAGATATGAATTTTATTCCCTATGTGATGTCTTGAGTTATCTCAAATCCAAATTGCACAGTATACAATGAACTTTGATATTTTGGCAGCTTTATCTGTAGAATCTTCCAATTACCTGCTTTAAGCAAAAATCCCATCACCCTGTCATTTACATCAGATAACAGATTTCCAGTGCATGAGTTTTTTTTTTTTTTTCCTAGTCTGAGGTGTTTCATCATAAAAAGTGTCAGGTGGTGCATTAGGTTGCAATATATCTATGTGGAATATAACATAATGAGGCCAAAAGAGAGTTGTTTAGAAAAATCTTTTGGAACTGGTACTCAGCTCAGCCACTGTTGACAGTTCCAGGGCTATGCATCTGAAATCTCCATAGAGAAACATTACAAAGTACAATGAACACTCTCAATATTAATAAACCTAAGAGTCTTCAAATTGTCTTCTATGTTTTCAAAAAGCTAAAATCATCATGTTTCATTTCAACATGGGGGAAGGAGAGAAAATATATGATTAGAATTTCTACTCTCTTTGAAAACTTTCATGTTGCTGAAAAATAACTTATTTCATTGGTAGCAATTCACAAATCGCTAACATTTCAATTTCATGTAAATTAAGGTTTATATTTAGATCCATTTAACACACCACTACTTGGATACAATGTATGCTGACATACATTTTAAGTCTGAAACTTTATTTAAGCGTCACAATAATTCTATGTGGCAAATACTATTAAAAATAAGCAAACTGTATCGTAAGGAGCTTCATGGCTGTCCCCAGATCATATTCATGGAACTGGTAAGCAGAGGAGGTTGGACTTGAGCCCAGTCAGTCTCCATAGCCCATATTTTGTGCTATCAACTTATATGACAAGTATACTTAGGATATATATTTTTTGTTTTCCATGGTTATATTAATTTACCTCAAAGTCAGGGACATGATAGGTGTTCCATGATGATTAACCATATTAAGTATATATTAGAGGCCAAGTACTGTTATCAGTGCTTTACATGTATTAATTTACAATAGATCGAGAGGGAAAAAAAGTGATAATAATTATTATTTTCCTTCTATAATAAAAGTACTGAAAATTCAAAAGAGTAAACTGAACAGCCTAAAGTCTCACAGCTTGTAGAGAAGGAGATGAGATGGGCATAGAGCTCACTCTATCTTAATGGCAGCCTATATAGTGTCTATGGGCTACTGTCATTACCATCAAATCCAAGGACATCATTTCTGGGTGTAACGTGTAAAATTATCACTAGAAATTCCTGCTTTTCAATGTGTCATTTGGATCATAGCATGAATTAAGTTACATGGCTGCTTTTTTATGCTTCAATTCACTTTACTTCATATAGGGAGTATCACCATCTCTTGGCTAATTCAACAATTAACAGGTAAAAAGTATAAATGCTTTTCCTCATCTCATCCACAACGTTTCCTACACTAATACTGTTATTTCAAAATAGGTGGGGTGCCTGGGTGGCTCAATTCGTTGAGCACCCAACTCGTAATTTTGGCTCAGGTCATGATTTTAAGGTCCATGAGATGGAGCCCTACGTGGGGCTCTAAGCTGGCAGGATAGAGGCTGCTTGGGATTCTCTCTCTTTCTGTGTCTCTCTCTGTCTCTCTGCCTCTCCGTCTCAAAATAAATAAACATTTAAAAATGGATAATATGCTTGATGACACAGAAGTCTATATATTCTCCCATTAACTCACAAATTAACTGTATCACTGCAGTGTAGTAAGCCCAATACTAATGAGTAGTTAGAGTGCTGAACAAAATCAACAACATCCCAGCCTTCAGAGGGCTTAGTGCCCAGGGGATTCAACCGACTCTGACCCTCAATTAAAAAGCAGTGGTGGCCTTCACAAAGACTAAGAGAAAGGCATCTCATATTTCTATCTCCCTCTAAGTCTTGTTTCTTGAAGGATTTTTTAGCATCATATTTCAAAGAGAAGATACTGCATTTTATTAAAATCTATAAAGGTTTACTTGATGATACTATGCTAAGTACATCATATATATAGAATCTAAAAACAATTCAACAAATATTTATTTTAAAAAATTGTTAATGTTCATTTACTTTGGAGAGAGAGACAGAAACAGAGCGTGAGTAGGGGAGAGGCAGAAAAAGAGAGAGATACAGAATCTAAAGCAGCCTCCAGGCTCCAAGCTGTCACCACTTAGCCTAACATGGGGCTTGAACTCATGAACTGTGAGATCATGACCTGAGCCAAAGTCGAATGCTTAACCAGCTGAGCCACCTAGGCACCCCAATTCAACAAATATTTATTGAATACTTTTTACATGCGATATTTAGTACTTGACTTGAGGATTTTCTATAGTGAATGAATAGGTTAATAAACCTACTTAAAATTCAGAATTATGTCTTAAAAAACATATATGCACATATGCACAGACTGGTACTCATTTGCTCAGAACCCACCTTATAGGCACTCTTCTAAACACTGGAAATTCAAAAACAAGACATTTCAGTACTTATTCTAGAATGCAGAGTTCTCATTCTGGTAAAGAAGACATACAATAAACAAATATACATTTAGGGGCGCCTGGGTGTCAGTTAAGCGTCCGACTTCGGGTCAGGTCATGATCTCACAGTTCGTGGGTTTGAGCCCCGCATCAGACTTTGTGCTGAGAGCTAGCTCAGAGCCTAGAGCCTGTTTCAGATTCTGTGTCTCCTTCTCTCTCTGCTCTTCCCCTACTCGTGCTCTCTCTGTCTCAAAAATAAACTATGTTAAAAAATTAAAAAATATATATATACATTTAAAAGTTTGAGAGATATGTGCTTTGAAAGAAAAGATAACTATGCTTCTAAAGATTGGAGCAAGACACCTGATACAGATGAATCAGGGGTGGTAATCATTTCTGTGTATAAATCCTAGAACATGTAGACCTAGCTGTCACCATAAATATAAATAAAGAGTGTTAAATTTGCTAATTTGGTATCTTGTTTAAAAACAGAGATTCTGGATTCATACTGCCAAAGTCAAATGTCTGCTCTTGGATAATTACATTCACCCTATTTTTCTTGTTAAAACACGTGAATAATAATATTTATCTAATATGATTATTGGAACTTAATTGAGATATGTAAATGAAAAGCTTAAAGCAGTGCCTGTGCCTAATCGAGACTATATAAGTATCAGTAATTGATGTCATAAAATTAGGGATTTAGCCTTTTACTATTAAAAACTATACAGTAAGGTGATACTGAATGTTCTCTCTTGATCCTATTGTTTAAAGTGGTTTTAAAATTCTCTACAGTTTTCATAATTTTTGCTATAAAAACACTTACAAACAATTATCTTTCCAGTAAAACAACATACAATGGCCATTTCTTCTACATAATACTAGGAACATAATGACAATTATCATTCCATTAAATTTATTGACACCATTTCCTTTCAGTAGATACTTTAGAGTTCTCTAATTGTACAAGGCACATTGAAATAGTCAATTCATCTCAGATGCCTTTCCTATTTTAAACTTGCTTGTCTTATACTGAAATATGGTAATTCAATTCCTTGTTCCATGAGATTATTCATAAAATAGTTTGACAGTCCATATAAATCTTTCTAGATTTCAAAATTTTACAATTTCCATCTTGACTAGATGTGTATAATTGAGGCTTTAAAAAAGTTTGTTCTCTTTATCTCCCTCAAATTTGATAAGTATTTTCAACATTGTTGACATTAATCATAAAATCAAGGTTTCATTTTAGCTCAAGGAAAATCACAGAACACAGCAGATTTTTGTATGAAAGAGTAAAAAAAGACACCTTAACTTTTTCCTCAGCTTTGGAGAACAGTAAAGTGTGTGATATATTCCATGGACAACTGCTCAAAACTCTTCTCCAGATTTTTGAGCTCCGTTAAATAAAAACAATCAAAAAAACTTTTCTTGTAAGTGACAATATGACAAAGGCCAATTTCTCCCCCAAAGGCATCTCTGGAAGCCAAGTAAAGTGGTTTTAAAGTGAGTATGATTATGCTATACAGAAAGATGCAAATAAGTCATTATTTATATGCTTGCTTTGGTTATAACTTCTGAAAGAAGTTTCTTTTCTTCTTCTGAAAGTGGTTTTTTTTTTTTTTTTTTAAGCATGCATTCAAGGTATTGTATTACAGTGATAACCTTACCTCTCCATGTAACAGCTTCCTTCTTCCTCACAAAAGAGCCCAATAACACACCTTAGACCTTAGGCCATACAAAGGTTTTACTTCTGATATTTTCTGTCAGAAGATCTAATAGGCAGTTTTACAAATAGGTTGTTTATTAACATACAAGATTACATGCATTCCAGGCATTAAGGGATTCCCCAGATCTCAAACTTAACAGCTGTGTGTAATGAAAATGGTGCAATTATGGGGGAGTCTATTGCATTCTCCTTTGCAGGCTTGCATACGATTTTCATAAATGCCTGTTGCAGAAGAGCTAAGCAAGGAGTTATGGTGTGAAAATGTGTGTGTGTGTGTGTGTGTGTGCGCACTCACGTGTGCATGTATGTGTGTATTTCTGCATATGGACCATAGGACTGATAGTTTATGATGAGTAGTTTCTGCTCATCTGGGGAAAAACCACATGCCTCCTGATAACTCCTGGAATTTATAGTTGTCACTCATTAGCACACTTCAGTGTTCATGAAATGGAAAGTTCTGTTACACTCACATTTGGGAGGCAAGATATGGTGAAGTTGAAAAATGGAGTTCATTCTAAGTCTTCCAACTGATCTGGCAAGCTGTCGGGTCTCACACTGCCCCAGCATCCACAGCCTAAATGTAAAGAAAATGTGCATGTATGGGAGAGAACCAGCGTCTGCCAGGAGAACTTAATGTCTGACCTTGGTGATGCCAGGATGTTTTTTCCACCGTCCTTGAAGATCCTATCCCAAAGCTCAGTTTTCTGATTCATTTTTGAAAAGAATGCTTACAGAGTTAAGAAGAATCTTGTAAAGTCTTTAAAACAAAGTATTAAAATGATGAATGAGGGTTATCAAAAGAGGTGAATAAAATGACAGCAGAAAGCTACAGACCTATTTTTATCTGGTACTCATTCCAATTCACTCTATAAATATTAATATATTCTGCTGTCTACAGCATGAAGATGACCACAGTCAGTTTTATCTGAACCAACTTCTAGAATTTATGCATATTTGGAAAGTATCCAGGTAAGATATTTAAATTTTTTCCAAGACTACTCTCTGACCGAGTTCTCAAGCGCCAAATCACAATATTTTTCAGTAGACTATAAAATATAGACTATACTACTTTCATTAGTACTGTGGAAGTTATTGTACTTTTAATAGATATCTCCCTTTGGCAAATTCTGTTATTAATTATCTATTCTTCACAGCTATTCAGATACATTTGAAGAGCTGCTAACACCTTCCATAACAATCTAGCATTCATTTTAAAACATCTCTGCTACCGGTTATTATGTTTTCAAGGATTTTTTTCCTCACTCATTTTGTGAATTTGGGTGTGCATGTGTCACTAAGGTCTTTGTATAACTAAATTTCAACACTTTGAAAGTCACCACATCCTGCTTTAAATTTTTCTTGAATTCCCTGAAAATAACTGGTATATCATAAACAGAGGAGCTTGAATTCAAGTTGGAAAACTCAAATGACAGTAAATGAACATATCCTAATTGATTCTCATATCTAAATGTATGCATGTATTATCTGAAAGAACAGACCCACCAGGAAGCTAACCTGGGAGAAGATATCAGTGTTACAGTATAGGTTCATCTGAATTTAATGTTGTTCTGAGCTGAATGAGCAAAAATTGGGGTACATATCATAATCTCCAAAGCGAAGCCTCATATAAAAAATATGATTGAAACTGTTTTTAGTGACTATTCATAATAGCTATCAATCACTTAGTGGAGCTACTGTACATTTTACATACATTATCTCATCTAATTCTTCCTACAACCCTGTGATAAGACATAAAATTTACTTCAGAATCAAAGAAACCAAAGCTCCGGAAGGTTTAAATAACTTCCTTAAGGCCACTTAGTCCATTAGTGGTAGGACAGAAATTAGGGCTGTCTGAAATTTGCAAAGACCCTATTCTTTTATTAAACTATTCTTTCCCTGTATGCCGCTTTTTATTTCCTCCAAAATATTCATTCTCACACAACAAAATCACAGAATGGGTAGGACTAAAAAGGACTTTAAATGTATTCTAATCTAAATTTTTATTTTATAGCTCATTACATGAATCAGGTTTAGGTTCCCATCAAAATGGCATGTTAACAAAGGTTGTAGTTTCCTTGTTCAAAAAAAAAAATTATCCAAAAAAAAAAAAAAAAACCCTTAGAGAAAGGCATCAAATTTGACAAATTCTTTTAAAAAATGGGAAATCCTTAGGAGGTAAAGGACTGTTCTGAACTGGTTTGGTGAAGGACTGTGACTTTTATGTAAGTAGCTGCTGTCTGGGACACAGAGAGACAAGGGGACTATGCAAAGAAGGGGAGAGCAAAGTAGTTTTCCTTCTGTCTCTGTCTTCCCCTGCCATTGCCAGCCCCCTCACAGGAGTCTGGTGACCTTGACCATTGTGCAATACAGGTGTCCACAGGGTTAAATTAGGGTAAAGCAAAAGCTCTGCCAACATGGAGACTGGAGGAAACCTGGGAGGGACAGACTAGTTTCAAAATATAATTCCTCTGCTCCTTCCCTCTAACCCCAGGATATTGCTGCCTCTCCTCTGGTAAGGAAACTAAAACAGAAAAGTTCAAAAATTTGTCAACCATCATAGAGATAATTAATGCTACAGCCAGGACAAAACCAAATGTCTAACACTTAGTTCTTATTCCATTTTAAATATTAATATGGTATACAACATTAAATTATGCACAGAATGTATTTAATATAGTATTTATAGTATTGGTATATATTGTGTATTATTTCATATGTAATAGCATTATATATGTATATATGTATACATTTTATATATAATAGCATTATCTCTGTGTGTATGTATATGTGTTATCCATTCATCCATTGACTGACATTCAGGTTGTTTCTATGTCTTGGCTATTGTGGATAATGCAGTAATGAACTTGGAAGTGCAGCCATCTCTTTAAGATAGTGATTTAATTTCCTTTGAATACCAGAAGTGGGAATGCTGGATGATATGTTAGTTTCTATTTTCTTCATACTGTTTCCATAGTGGCTGAACCAATATACATTCCCAACAGTATACCAGGGTTTCCTTTTCTGAATAGCCTTGACCAGAGTCTTTCCGGTAATAGTCTTTCTAACTGGTGTGAGGTGATATCTCACTGTGATTTTGATTTGCATTTCCCCATCTGTTCTCAGCCTTCTGGCTAAGATCAAGTGTAGCATGTCCCTGATGATTAGTGATATTGTTCATGTACTTGTTATTCATGTGCTTGTTGGCCATTTGCATATATTTTTAAGGGAAATGTCTACACAAGTCCTCTGCCTATTTTTTAAATTGGATTGATTTTTCACTATTGAGTTGTATGAGTTCCATTTCATATTTTGGATATTAACCCCTTATCAGATACATAGTTTGCAGATATTTTCTCCCATAATCTATGTTGCCTTTTCATTTTATTTATTCTTTCCTTTGCTGTTTAAGGTCTAAGATGGGGTGCAACTTCATTCTTTTGGATGAGAATATCCAGTTATCCCAAACTAGTTATTGAAGAGACTATTCTTTCTCCACTGATTATTCTTGGCTCCTTGTCAAATATTACTTGACTTTATATATGTAGGTTTATTTCTGGGCTCTCAAGAGTATTCAGTTCATCAATGTGTCTGTTTTTACATCAGTGTCATCATACTTTTGATTCCCAAAGCTTTGTAGTATGCTTTGAAATGATGCCTCCAGATTTGTTCTTTCTCAGGATTGCTCCAGCTCTTCGGGGTATTTTGTGGTTATATATTAGTTTTAGGATTGTTTTTCTTATTTCTATGAAAAATGACATTTAAATTTTGATAAGATTATATTCAATAGGGTCGTCTGGCTGGCTCAGTTGGTAGGGCATGCTACTCTTGATCTCACGGTCGTGAGTTCAAGCCTCATGTTGGGCATAGAGCTTACTTAAAAAAAGAAATTAAATCTATAGATGGCTGTGGGTAGTATGGACATTTTAACAATAGTAACTTTTCTGATCTAAAAACTTGGATGTTTATGTGTTTTCTTCAATTTCTTTCATCAAAGTCTCATAGTTTTCGGTGTATAGATCTTTCACTTCCTTGGTTAAATTTGTTCCTGAGGTTTATTTTTTTTATGCTATTCTAAGTAAAACTTTTTTACTTTTCAAAAACTTTCATTGTTAGTGTACAGAATCCCAACTGATTTGTATATATTTATCTTGGATCCTGAAATTTTACAGAATTTTTTTATTAGTTCTAACAGTATTTTGGTAAAGTTTTCAGGATTCTCTATATACAAGACTGTACCATCATCAGACACAATTTTATTTCTCCCTTTCAGTTGGAATGGATTTTATTTCATTTTCTTGCCTGATTACTCTAAGACTTCTAGTACTAAGTTGAATAGGTGGAGTGAGAGTGGGAACTCTTATCTTATTCCTGATCTTAGAGAAAGTATTTTCTAAAATTTTTTAAATGTTTATTTTTGAGAGAGACAGAACATGAATGGAGGAGGGGCAGAGAAAGAGGGAGACACAGAATCTGAAGCCTACTCTAGACTCTGAACTGTCAGCAGGGCTTGAACTCACTAACTGTGAGATAGATCATGATATGAGCTGAAGTTGAACATTTAACCAATTGAGCCACCCAGGTGCCCCTAAGAGTAAGTGCTTTCAACATCTCACCATTGAGTATGATGTTAGCTGTGGGTTGTCATACATGAACTTGAATTATGTTGAGATATGTTCTTTCTATACCTAATTTGTTAAGTTTCTATAATGAGAGGATGTTACATTTTTTTCAAATGCTTTTTCTGCTTCTATTGAGATGATCAATGATTTCTGTCTCTCATTTTATTAATATGCTTTACTACATTTATTGATTTGTGTAGTTGAATCATCCTTGCATCTCAAAGACAAATTTCACTTGATCATGGTGTAAAATAATCCTTTAAATATGCTGTTGAATTTGGTTTGCAAGTATTTTGTTGGGAATTTTTGCATCTATAATCCTCAGGTATATTGGCCCATAGTTTTCTTTTCTTGTAGTGTCCTTACTTGGCTTTGGCATCAGGGTAATTATAGCTATATATAATGAGTTTGGGAGTGTCCCTCCCTCTTCATGTATTTGGAAGAGCTTGAGAAGAACTGGCATTAATTTTTCTTTAAATATTTGGTAGGATTTACCCACGAAGCTATCTGCTCCTGAATTTTTCTTTGTAGGGTGAGTTTTGATTACTGATTTAATCTTCTTTTTACTGGTCTATTTGGATTTTCTATTTCTTCCTGATTCAGTCTTGGTAGGTAGTACTTTCTTAGAAATTTATTTATTTCTTCTGGGTTGTTCAATTTTTTGGCATATAATTGTTCCTAATAGTCTCTTTTGATGCTTCTTTGTTTCTTGTAACAGTTTTTAAATTAAAGTCTATTTTGTGTAATACAAGTATATCTACCTCTGCTATCTTTTGGGTCTCTATTATACATGAAGTACCTTTTTCCATCTCTTCACTATGTACATATATAAGTTCTTGAAGCTGAAGAGAATCTCTTGCTTGCAGTATATATTGTCTTTTTTTTCCATCCATTCAGCTACTATCTGCCTTTTGACTGAAAAACTTTACATTTAAAATAATTATTGATAGTTAATGACTTACTATTGTAAGTTCATTGTTCTCTGGCTGTTTTGTACCTTTATTCACTCTCCTTCCTTCCTTTCTTTTCTGTTTCTCTCTTTCTAAATTGATGACTGGTCATAGTAATATACTTTAATCCCCTTCTGTTTACTTTTTGAGTATCTGTGATGTTATTGTTTTGTGGTTACTCTGAAGTTACTTGAAATATTTTATAAAAGTCTTTTAAACTGATAGCAATTTAGCCTTATTTTCATAAAAACTCTACCTTTTTCTCTGCCCCAACATTTTATGTTTTTGATGTCAGAATTTATACTTTATATTATGTATCCATTGACAAGTATTGAAGCTTTATCTATTTTTAATGCTTTTTTCTTTGACCTCTATACTAGAGGTAAGGGATTGACACATCATTATTACTATATTAGATTATATACTTGTCTTTTCCGTAAAGTGTGTCATATATTTTCATGTTTTCCTGTTACTAATAAGCATCTTTTCATTTCAGCTTGAAGAACTAGCATTTCTTCTAAGGTAGGCCTTGTGCTGACGAACTTTTTTGCCTTTGTGAAAGTCTTTATTTCACCTTCATTACTGAAGGATAATATTTCTGGGTAAAGTATTCTTAGTTGGCAGAGTTTTTTTTTCTTTCAGCAACTTACATTTATCATCCTACCCTCCTAGTTTGTAGTATTTCTGCTGAGAAATCTACTGATAGCTCTATGGTGGTTCTCTTTTATGAGGAAAAATTCTTCTCCCTTGTTGCTCTTGAAATTTTCTCTTTATATTTGATTTTAGGCAGTTTTATTTTGTTATGTGTCTTGGAGATCATTTTGGATTGAAATTATGGGGTGACCCATTACTTCACAATGTCTGAATCTCTTCCCAGGTTTGGGAAGTTCAAAAGCCATTATTTCTTTAAATAAGCTTTCTGCTCCTTTCTCTTATCTTCTTCTTTCAGGACTCCAATGATATGCACATTGTTTCTCATTATGGGGTTCCATGAATCCCATAAGCTTTTTAAAATTCCTGTTTAAAATTTTTTTTTTGTTTTTCTCCTTCTGGTTAGGTAATTTCAAATAATTTGTCTTTGAGCTTACTGATTTTTTTCTTCTGCTTCGTTCCTTCTTCTGCTGAAGCTTTATATAGAATTCTTCAGTTCAGCCATTGTATTCTTTATCTCCAAAACTCTGGTTCCTTTTTTGTTTTCTATACCTTTATTCAACTTCTCATTGTATTCTTACATTGTTTGGATGAGTTCATTAAATAGTCTTTCTGTGTTCTCTTATATTTCTCTGAGCATCTTTAGAACAATTTTTTTTTAATATCTTTATTTCTAGGAGAGAGAGAGAGAGACAGTGTGAGCAGGGGAGGGTCAGAGAGAGAGGGAGACACAGACTCTGAAATAGGCTCCAGGCTCTGAGCTGGCAGTCAGCACAGAGCCCGACGCGGGGCTCGAACCCACGAACCGCGAGATCATGACCTAAGCGAAAGTCCGACGCTCAACCGACTAAGCCACCCAGGCGCCCCTTTAGAACAATTATTTTGAATTTTTTTGTCAGGCAATTCACATATCTCCCTTTTTGGGGGTCAGCTGCTGTAGGCTGGTTGTGTTCCTTTGGTGGTGTCATATTTCCCTGACTCTTTATGATCCCTGGAGCCTTGCATAGATGTCTGTGCCTGGGAAGAAGCAGTCAAATCTTCCAGACTTTATAGGCTGACCTCAGAACAGGATCTTCACCTTCAGGGGAGGCACACTGGAGCATGCTATAGCCATGAGTCTAGTGGTGCAGGACCAAGTATACAGTCATCTGGAAGACCCAGGTCTGGTGAATGTGATGTCTCTTTAGCTCAGGTCACTGGGGACCACAACATCTTTAACAAGTGCTGTTGGCATCTTCAGTGTTTCCTGGTCCAGCAGTGAGGGACCAGGCCAGGCAGTGGTTGTTGCTAGTTGGTGGCATGCACACATACAGTTTGTGGGTCAGCTGCAAGTGCCTGTGTATTGGCAGGAACTGGTTGCAGACATACATATAGTAAGGGGGAGGGCAGGGCTGGCAGCCAGGACTAGACTAGCTGCAGGTGCGCTGGCACCGTGGGGCCCCTGGCTGTTGGTACGCACTCCTGTGGCTGCAGTCTCACCTTGGCCATGTGCACAGCAGTGGAGGCTACTATGGGTTTCAGGCTGGTTGGATACGGGTACACAGCTGGAGGGGCTGGTTGCAAGTAAGCCCAACAGTGTAGGCCAGTCACAGGAAACAGGGCCAGAACCAGGCCTGTAAGCAGCTATGGGGTCCTGGCCAGTGGGTGCATTCCTGTGCCTGCAGTGTCTCCCTAAAACATGGCATGGCAGTGAAGGCCAGTACATAAATTGGGCCAAGGGCTTGCAGGTGCACAGCTTGGGAACCAGCTGCAGGTGAGCCCTAGGGTGGCAGTGGGTGGGGGAAGGGAGCTGGGAGAGACTCAAGCAGCTGCTGTTTGTGAATATGAATACCTGTGTGTGATGGGGGGAGGGAAACCGTGAAATCTACAGGTGTGTCTGCAGCTGCTATTGGTTGGTTTCTTCCATGGTGAAAGGTACTGGGCCCTCTGCAGTGCAGGTCACCAGGGACGATAGGAACTCCAACTACATGGCCCATACTGGCAGCTCCAGCCCTTCTTCCTTGTTCCTAGCCGTTGTTATGTATCTCAGCTTCGCTGGTCTCTGGGTACTGTAAAAGCAATGCAGGTCCTTCTTGCAGTGTCCCTTAAAGGCTAGGGGAAACTGCTGGTTCACTTACTGTCCCTTTCCCAGCATGAGGAATTCTCTGTTGGCAGTGAGCAGTGCTGGCCTGCAGGATGAGATGATGCAGGTAAAATGAAACCACCTCTCCTTTTTGTGTGGTTATTCTCAGGCTTTTTGTTTTGTTTTGTTTTTTGTTCTACAGTATCGTGAAAGTTTCTTAGAAGGATTCTTAAGCTCTCCCAGAGCTGTTTTTCTTTATAGATAGTTGTCTAATTGTGAGAATACACAGGCTGATCTCCTACTTTGCTATCTTAGAGACCTCCAAAACTGCTTTCTGGAATACAGTGCTATTCTGCCTTCCCTCCTCAGACTACTTTATGGTGTCATTAAAAGATTAAACACTAGATGGCAGGAGCTCTGTTTTCAGTATCCCTCTTCCCTGACTTGACTTCCTCTTAGAAGCTGGGCAATATATACCTTCATTAGTTTCCAGGGCTTTTTCTATAAAACAAATATAATACTTAGTAGCAAGATGCTGAAGATATATATTCTTGAGGGTCTTTTAAGTTTTAGGGTCAGGTTTTATATAAAAACCCTCCCTCCAATAGCCACAATCTTTTTCCATTCTTTTCCTATACCTTCACTGACTTTTAAATGGTCTATGCATTTTGTCTTTGAACTGTCAGATTTCATTCAACTAAAGAGATGATTTAATAAAGGCTGAGAAGCCAGCTATTGAAAAATATATTGGTGTGTCTTTAACACTGTTTTGTGTTGTCTGACTTGTTAAGTTCAGTGGTTTTCAGGACAAATAGGAAGAGAAAGTCATAATGTTTGGAAAGTAATTTTGATTAGTGAAGTCAGAAGAACCTCCGCTCATCTCACATCTATTCTACCCAAGCATAGATAAAGTTGGAGCAATAAGAGAAGCTTAGGGCAAAAAAAAAAAAAAAAACAAAAACACAAAACAAAAACAAAAAACCATACAGAGGTTTGATGTCAAAGACAACCTTTTCTATTATAAATATATGTCACTAATTCTGAAACTAATTCTCTGCAAGCATTTGCATATTAACAATTCTTGATGTTAGTGTTTGTCATTATCTGCTCATAAACCTTTTCATAACTTACATTTTCAAGTAAGAGTAGTTTGATAGAATGAACAGTTGAGAGGTTTGGTTAATTTGGTATTCATTTCTTTGGAGTTCTAAAGTTTTCAAATATGTCTGTAGTCTATCAAGTTACATAAAGTTTATAAGCATCCATCTGAAATAGTTTTTATTTACTTTTTTAAATTTAGTTAAATGTTTTATTTATTTCTGAGAGAGAGAGAGAGAGAGAGAGTGTGTGAGCAGGGGAGGGTCAGAGAGAGAGGGAGACACAGAATCTGAAACAGGCTTCAGGCTCTGAGCTGGCTGTCAGCACAGAGCGTGACGTGGGGCTTGAACCCACTAAACTTGAGATCATGACCTGAGCCGGAGTTGGACGTTTAACTGACTGAGCCACCTAGGCACCCCTGAAATAGTTTTTAAAACTGTGTCAATAGCAATCCTTTTTAAGCCATGTCTGCTGTAGATTCATGGACAAAACAGCACTTAACAATATATATGCTACAGTTACTATAACTTTTCTTAACCACATTTAGACAAAGTTGTTTTTTTTTCTTTCCAGACAGTGCCTTTCAACAGTAATAAAAAAATATGACTTCTGCCTGAAATGCCTATTGAAAACCCAGGTATTGACTTTTGTTACTTTATCTATCAATTCAATAAGCATTTATTAACAATATGCTTTTTTCTAAAACTTCACAATTTTCTGAAGATACAAAGATGAATAAAGTAGAATATCTATACTTGAGCAGCTTTCATTCTATCATAGCAAAACCTGCAAGTAAATAGATGTATATTAATAAAGTGTCATAGGTACCATGAAAGACCTATGTGTACACAGGATACAAAAGAAAGTTATCAATTTTACCCGTTTGATCCGAATGTTGAAAAATGAGTATGGCAACTAAGTAAGGCACATGGTGAGGGAAGGTGGGGAGTGGAGATAACTTTTAGTGAAGAACACCATGAAGAGAAGCAGTTAGGAAAAGCCTAGTGTGATTAGAAAACTGTATGAAATTTGGAATGGCTACAATTAGGGTTCAAGGTGAGAGACTGGAAAGAGACCAGATGAAAGGGGTAAACAGGAGCCAACTTACGTAGGAGCCTAAGGACATTTTATGGACAATTTAATCATTTTCTACTTTGTCAGCTGATGACATACAGCCATTATGCAAGGTAGTAGAATGACAGATGGATGATTAAAGGAGCATTTCATTACATTAGCCCAAAGAGATGATAAGGGTTTTGACAAAAACTCTACAGTAGGGGCGGTTAGGAGGGAACAAATTCATAACATGTAAAATGTACAATTTATATGATTTGGTTTCTTGTTTTGTAAAACAAAAGAAGAAAGTGTGTAGAATATCTCCACATTTCAGGCTGCTAACTGACTACATGGAGACATCAGTTCACTAAAATAGCAAAGAGAGGAGAAGTTAGCTTGGCAGGGAAAAATGGATTTAGTCCAAGACTACTAAGATTTGGTCGCCAACTGGGAATCAAAGTTGTGGTCACTGTTAGGCAGATCCTATCTTATAGCTTATTCTTCCAGGGAAGGTTTCATCTTCCACAGATAAAACATGCTGTGATAATAGAAAATTGTGTAAATACAGTGTTTTAAAAGAAGTGAGGATTTATTTTTCCATTAAATAATTGACTCCTGAAATATATGAACAGATAAAAAGCCTAAGTAAGTATCCCTAATATTAATTAACAGTAGAAGATTCTGAAAATAATCTGGATAGATACCAAACTCATGTAGATTCCACATAAATGTTTAAAGACATGATGATGACAAATACACAATTCATATTCCCTCCCAAAGTGTATTCCTATTTGTCTAATTCCATTTTTCCTTCTTGATCTTGGCCTAAATCTGGTAGTTTAAAATGTGAAATGTGTAAGAAATTCATAGAAGATTGGTTTAAGTCTCATAAAACTGACATAACTAGTACTTCTTTCAGCTTGATTCTTCATCTTTGTGATAGTCACTCTTTCTAGTGTAGAGTTTGTCGACCCAAAGCAGACGAAGACTTCATTCCTAAATCATTTATGTCTTTTGACTATATATAGATATACTTTTGAGGTTATGAGAGCCTAGTAAAGAGTGACTGGTAATTATCTAAATGTCTCAGTACTGCTCATATCACAGATGCCTTTTTATACATACACAAATCCACACAAGTTGTTGAGAATCTGTAAAGTTCTTAATTTCCAAGAAGTCTGATCATCTTACTCTTATATAAAGCCTCCAATATTTTCAGTCTGAAAGAATCCATTGATTATTGTAAATTTTTCCAGTATGACTTGAAAGCTGGCAAAACATCAAATAATTACTGTCTTTACATTAACACAGGCAAACAGTTATCATCACCCACATCTGGCTTATCTTATAAATAGGCCACAGTGTCTGTGATTTTCCAGACAAACTCCTTCCAAAACAATGGGCTTTTTAAATGTGATTCTTCCAATGAGGCATCACTAGCAAATATCTGAGAAATGAGGACAGACTGTGATACTTCTATTTATTTGATGACTGTATTAAATAATATTTCACCAACGTCAAAAACAGTACAAACATGAACAACAATGCTTATTTATATTACCCAAACTTGGATTATTAAACAGAACTTTTTAAAAAATTTTTTTAAATGTTTATTTGAGAGACAGAGAAACAGAGCACAAGCGAAGGAGGGGTAGAGTGAGAGGGAGACACAGAATCAGAAGGAGGCTCCAGGCTCCAAACCGTCAGCACAGAGCCCAACACGGGGCTCAAACCCATGAACCATGAGATCATGACCTGAGCTGAAGTAGGTCAGCTAGGTGACTGAGCCACTAGGTGCCCCTAAACATAATTTTTTTAAAGACAGGAAACGTGCAGGCTGAATTAATATGACATAGATATTATTGACTAATATGGATAATTTAAATTTTCAAATATTTTCTTTCCCCAGCCATGGTCATTTAACATATTTTAGACTTGACTTATTTCATTTTGGGTGTCCTGACTATTATGTTTGCTAAGTAGCTAGTTTTGTAAATAATTGATACAGAACTTTTCTTTTGGACATTTTCTTCCTCTCTTCTATTCCACTAATATCCAGCAAGGTAAGGAACATTTTCTATATTCATTCTATATTCTGTATTGATCTCTACTATTTCAGAGAAATTAAGAATAAAAGAAAAATAATTTCTCCCCTAAGGTATTACTTAATGGTTACTTAATGCTAATCAGTGAACTATTTACTCACTAGAATCAAGAGAAATAGAAATCTGGGGCACCTGGGTGACTCAGTTGGTTAGGCGTCTGGCTCGATTTCTGCTCAGGTCATGATCTCACAGTTTGTGGGTTGGAACCCCGTGTCAGGCTGTGCACTGACAGCATGGAGCCCTCTTGGGATTCCTTCTCCTCTCTCTGCCTCTCCCCTGGTCTCTCTCACTTTCTCTCTCTCTCTCTCAAAAAACGTGGGGAGAGGAGAGAGAGAGAGATAAAACTCAGAACCATACTCTGAAGTTGCTGATGATCTAGTTGGAGAGAGAATATTCATATAAATAATGTACATAGAGTGGCATATATACAAAGCAAAGCAGTGTAAAACAAGATTTCAGTCTAGGTGCAAGAATCAACTTCTGATTCAAAGTTGCTTCTTCCTAGTAGCCTCTACTGCACTGTCTCCAAATTTTTTTATTACAGTGCCAAATAGGACCTTTAAACAAAGTTAGCAATCCCTACCAGTGATGACAAACTTAGACTAGAATCTAATAACTGGTAAACTAATTATAAATTGATGGATTTGGATTGAGAAAAGTCTACTCATACTGGAAAAAATGGTTTGGCGTCATGAAACATCTACTTGGTCTAAAAAGAGCTAAAAATCTCCAAACACTATTATCATCTAGCTCATAACTCAAAAAGTGTACAAACTAGATAACCAGAATGGCACCTCTATTATTCAGGTTTAAGTAACTAAATAACTAGGACAGAATAATAATTTTCTCACACTTTCCCCTCCCTAAAACCCAAATCCAACTGAATTCAGCCTCTAGACAGAAGTTAAAAATTCCACATATAAGCAGAAATAAAGCGGGCACATAGGGATCTTCTGTATTTGGCTTTATTAGAACTGAAGCTCTTTTAGTAACAAGGAGACCTATTGTTACATTTTTATAAGTACTAAATTCAAACTTAATTTATTTTTTAACTGCTGATTTTTGAGAGAGAGAGAGTGCAAGAACATGAGCAGGGGAGGGACAGAAAACAGAAGACAGAGAATTCCAAGCGGGCTCCACACTATCAGTTCAGAGCCCAACATGGGGCTTGAACTCACAAACCATGAGATCATAACCTGAGCTGAGATCAAGAATCAGATGTTTAACCAACTGAGCCACCTAGGCAGCCCTCAAACATAATTCAAACCAAATGGCAATAAGAACAAAATTTAGGAAGAGAGACTCCAAAGTCAGATAGCAGTATATGCCAACCCTCCACTGAAGACAGTTTTTATTCAACTTTCTGAGAGCTCATAGTATTCTACATTAGAGTGAATTTAATAAAATATAACAATGATATTTTTAAAATTAATAAAAAGTGTATGTAACATGATTAGTATAATATCGTGGCTGGAAGATAAAACATGCACAGGTAAAGATAAGTACAAGTGTTATTTTAGTGCTATCAGAGTTACTACTTTTAGAGTTATAGATTTTGGGGGCTAATTGTCATAAGTTTTTATTGCTAAGGTAGAGGACTGTACAGGATCCAGAAGAAAGAAGAAAAATGTCGCAAAACCAATTTGCATTCAACATAGAATATAAGAAGAAGTGGGGAAGGAACAAAAAATCCTAAGAAGAAAATAGGACAAAATGAATAGGTAACAAGGACCTGGTTAAAGGTTACTAAAGAAGAAGTCAACGAGATGAAGGAGATGAAGTCAGGTTACAAGAAAAATAAAGCAAAATTGCAAAATTGGAAACCACCTCTGCAGAAATAAAGGGCATATTGAAACTACTAAAAGTCAAACGTATTATGTATAAAACATTTTCTGACTTAAGGAAGCAAAAAATGAAAACCTGAAAGTAGATCTCCAATAAGGAAAATAATCACTAGCCAACTTAATTTGTATTACAAGTAAGATCTAAAGCATTGAAGGGTTTTGCCAAAGGAATAACATGATCTAACATTTTATTTGGGATTTGTGCAGTGAATTATATAATACGTGAAGAGCATTTAATAATATATATACAGACTAAAGAATAGTTCTAGAGCAGGCATTCTTATTAAACAGTAAGTTAGGAGCAAAATATTGCTGGTATCATAGGATCTGCCTGTCTGCCACTTTGTATCTCTTTTCCTCTACATGAGGGGTATCTTTTGGTGAAAAGTATTTTGCAGGTTTTCTTTTCATCATTTTACCTTTTCACAATACCTTCAAAGCTATCTATACATTCATTAGAAATATAAATTTTAGATTTCCTTTTAAATGTTTCCATAAATGGAATCAAAATATATGTACTTTTTGAGCCATCTATCTTTTGCTCATTGTTTTTCAGATTTATCCACATTGTTCCATGTGGTATTGATTTGTTTTCATTGATGCATAGTACTCAATCAACTCAAAGAACCTCA